GATGGCCTTCAACTTGCATAGCTCTCACTTGTGTAACCTTATTATTCAATGAGTTTCTTTTCAGAACCACTCCATTTATTTTTCTTTTAATTCATATTTCAATCAGTTCATTCTTAAGTCATCATGATGTGAAAGTTTGACCAGTGCAGAATCTTTTGAGGATCTGTAACATAAATAATAGAATATTGTAAATTGGTTTTGAAGTTTTCTGGACTATTCCTTCATTTTATATCTGAGGTTGATTCATTTTTTGTTAGATGAGTCTATTGGATATAATTTATTTCAATTTTCTGGATTATTGCCCCTTTTTATGTCTCAGGTCTATGAATTTTTCTTTTTGTTACATGAATAATGGAACAAATAAAGTCTTAAATAACCTCCAAACTTTATTACTAAACTTTGTAGTAGTCTGGAACTGAAATAATTAATAATTCTTAATAAAAGAAAAATTAAAAGTTAAACAATAAAAATACTTTAAAATACAAAATAAGAATGCTAGTTAACAATAAAGAAAGAAAAAGTTAGATTATAAAAAAGCAGTTAAATAAATATAGAATACACTCATGATGCATCAGAACAAATGTTTTAACACCAAATGAAACAAAAATCAAAACTTTCTCTCTCCCTGTTTTTAACCACTGGAAGAGGCAGACATCCTGGCCAGCTCTCTGATAAAACATGTTGCCACCAACAGATAAATAAAACTTCTTCATTTCTGTATACATATATGTTCTTTAAAATATACAATCATTTCTTTGAAATGTATACTAAAACAATTTATCATTTTTGTCTGTGCTTATTTTGTTGTTTCTCATATTTTGTTTATAATAGCATAAGTGTGGTCATATGATGCCACTTTCACTTCCCAAAAAATAGATATATAAAAACACTACATTCAGACGAGGCCAACGCAACACCAGAACACCCACAACAGGAATGTTGAATATAGTTTCTGCAATTTTCTGGATTATTCCCATTTCTTATGTCTACAGTCTGTAAATTTTCTTTTTTACACAAATAATGGTAATAGTAAAGGTAATATTAACCATTTCCTTATAAGGAAACATTCAACATTCATTGACCAAGTGGCCAGTACCATTGTTATAAAATCTTTCTCTTGAAACAATTTTTCAGGGAAATATGTTTCTCAGGTTCAGTAGCTGTTTTTGTTCTTTCCAGTATTGATGGAGGATTCCAATATAACCTTTAGATGTCTTGTATTATTCTATGATATGTGATCAGCTTTTTCCTAATTTCTGAAATTTTCAGTTTGGAGTATGCCATAACAGAAATGTTTATTATAAATTCACAACCTGCCAAAGTTAGAAAGTGGTCTGTTATTTCATTTTTCTCCTTGTCTTGCCTGGTTGTCTTTTCATTTTTTTAGTCTGAGAATAGGCTGCAAAAAACAGGATCTAAGTCTCAACAAATTCTGGTTCATCCAAGTGACAAACATCTTACTGGTGATACCATACTTCTAATCTTGTTTTTGAAGTAGTGTGGAATGTCAATATTGTGATTGAGTTGCATGTGATATCCATTGTAGTTGTTGAAAATTCCCAGATAATGTTGTTTCTGTTATTTGGTATAGTTCTTTGTGATTCTGTAGCAAATGTTGGATATAGTGTCTACAGTTTTCTGAATTATCTCCCTTTTTTCATGTCTCTGGTCTATGGATTGTTTTTTTTTTAGTTCTTGCATGATGTTACTTTCCAATTCCATTTACTAATATGATTTTTTGAGAATGAAAGTGCCAATTTTTTTAGTTTGAATATATTTTAGTAGGTCTTTTGTTGCAGAGAGAGAGAGAGAGAGAGAGAGAGAGAGAGAGAGAGTTAACCCTAGATTTGAAGGGGTTAAATTTGTAGTGATTTGGAAGCAGCCTCTTTGGATTCTATTCCACAGAGTAGCGGTTCTTGGGAAGAAGCTGTCTGAATGGAAATTCTTTATTATTAATGGGATACAAAGGGAATGGGGATGATTTGTTCCACTGTACATGTGGCGGATCTTAGCTGTGCTGGTCTGAACTGATAATTCTAAGGAATGAAACTTGTCAGAACATTTTCCATGGATATAGTGATAGAGTCATGAGAGGTTTGCTTGTGGAAAAGGGGTAGTGAGTAAATATTTTTAGCAGAATATTCATTGTCATGGTGAAAACAAATAAGTAAGAAAATAATAATTCCATAAAAAATCTAAACTTTCCAAAGAACATCTGTATAAAATGAATATAGACACAGCTTCTCTCTCTCTTTTTTATTAATAATTTCATCACAATTGTTCAGTTGAGCTCTATTCCTTGATACCTCTTGATACCTCAAATGCATAAATTTAAGCGCACTACTAGATTGGCAATTAGGTCTCATTGTTTTACTGTTGAAATAGCTAATTCTAAGTAGTTTCTTTTCTCACATTTCTCAATTGTGGAACTCTCTTTTGGTAACTTGCTTCCCTGTCACCTACAATCTTCAAAAATTTAAATGCAACACTAATTGCCATC